TCCATGTTCAGATGTGAGAGCAGACACAATGCTCTTCCTTTGAAATAATTTTTTTCTGAATTCCTTGTGGTCTCATCACCTATGAGCTATCTGTTCATATACTCCTACGTAGAATTTACTGAAGATCAGAAAGGGTCTTAGGTGACTGATTCAGGGGACAGCTTTCTTTTGCACAACATTTAGCAGGTTTGTTGTTCAGGTAAAATTTAGTAAGTGATTCAATCATGTTGTTTTTAAAATACAGAAATTGAATTGTGGGTGTGTTTCTGCATCTGAAATGCACAATAGGATTTATATAAATTAGACAGGTCATCTATAAGACTGCTCAGTTTTTTTCTGAGCAAATTGTAAAACTGAATTACCCATGTGGTCAAACTACATCTTTCATCATGCCTTCTTTTTCCCACCCTGCCTCCCTGGCAAAATGAGAGACAGCATCTTCAGCAGCTGACCACAGACCTCCCTGTGCGATTTTGCCTCAGCTTGGCATTTTGCTAAGAAGAGGGAGGAAAAGGAGAAAAACATCTGCATTCAAAATAAATAGATTCCAAAGATATGAGCGTTATGTTCATTCTCAACGTAACAAGATCCTATTCACCAGTCCATTGTTAGGGGATTAAGGCCAAGTTGTATGTTTTACTCTAGTGCAGTTCTGACAGCTTTGGACTGAAAAGAACCAGAAACTACTGCTGTTCAGAGTGTTGTGTCAGGGGACCATGACTGCAAACTGTCTTTGGACCAGTTGGTTTTGAACACTGGGAGTGTGTACCATTGCCTTGCTCAAATTGCTTTGGTTCCTTAGGGTCCATTCTCTTTCTAAAACAGACAGTACATAATTGCCACAGAATATAAAGAAAAAAGGGACAGTAAGTGTAGATTTATTAGGAGCATGGGCTTTGTTGGCAGACAGACTTGGGTTCCAGTCCCAGCCCTGCCACCTACATGTGAACTAAAAGAAGTTTTCATTTCTTTTTTTCTCTTCCAAATTGGTCTTTTAAATGCCAATTCATATAATGCCAACATGTCAAACAGTACAACAGAGCATACAATGGAAATGAATTTCCCTTCCCTTCCAGTTCCCTCTTCATTTCCTTCCTCTCATGGCAACCACTCAACCATTTCTTATGTGTTTTTCAGGAAATTTTCTATGTGTGTACAAACATCTATAAGGATATGTCTATTCTTATTTCAAAACACAAATCTTACCAGGCATAGGCAGTGTTCTGTGTATGCTTCTTTTTAACTTAATGTAATTTAGAGCACATTTCACACCAGTACATATAGATCAATCTTACTATTTTTTGTAACTGCACTGTATTCTATTAGATAAAGGAACCATAACTAGGGAAGTGTTTCATAGTTACATCTATCTAATTCTAGATAATGGGCATGTTAGTAGTTTCAAATTGACTGCTATAAATAATACTGTAATAAACATCCTTGAACATTCATACTTAAGAACCTGTATAGTCAGTTCTTTAAAGTAGAATATCTATTCAGGTGTGTGGTCATTCACATTTTTTACAGATGTTGCAAAATAGGGTGAGTACCACAGTTTCTCTGAACTGCAGCATCCTATTATGTAAAGTGAGAGTAGAAACAGTACCTGTCTTGTGGTGTTGTCAGGATTCCACAAGATAAAATACATAAGTAGTGTTGCTAGATGAAACAAATATAAATATTACTCCAGTTAAATTCAAATTCCAGATACATAGCGATAATGTTTTAGAATAGGTATATCCCAAATATGGCATGGGACACACTCATACTAAAAAATAATGTTTTTTATTTAAAACTCAAATTTAATGGGGTATCTTTTAGATTTTATTTAGCAACTCTATATAAAAAGGATCCATACAATCCTTGGAATTCAGTGGTACTAAATAAATGTTGACTGCTATAATTCTTATTAGACATCCAGGAAAGTGCTATTATTCATCAAATATTTTGGGATATATTGATTTTATATTCCTTACTGTATTTGTCATTGATTCAATAATTATTTATTAAATATGAGCTATTTTTCTAAGTCCTGAAGATAGAGTAGTAAACAAAACGAAGTGTGTATGAGCAGGAAATGCTTGCATATTTTACAGGGCTGACAAAGACTTGGTGTGAGTGGACTGACTGATTAATTAGGGGAGAACAGTTATATTCTGTCTTTAATAAATGTACTCCAGCATTTATTCTGAAGCATTTAAGAAAATCTTCTTTTTTTAGGAGTTTGTGTTGCTTATGGGAAAGTAGGGGCATTAGGATATGAAAAGGAAGGCAAGAGTCTCTTGAAGGTCCCCCCCTTTGTTCTGCAATGGGTTTGGAGTTTTGATTTGTAGCCTCTGGAGTCAATAGTTCAGTGATATGGAGCATGGCTAGGTGTTACCTCAACCTCAGACTTGCATTTTCCTCTGGGGCTTTCAACTAAGCCTTGAAGCTCTGGACATCCTAGAAATGCCTTTGCAGGAAAAACCAAATTCAGGGCAATTTATCAAAAACTATGAGGTGAGGTTGCTATCTGTCACCTCATTTTTTGACAACTCAGATTTTCTGATGTTCTGAAGGGCAGATATATTGTGAGCCAGTATATTAAAAAGTTTCTCTCCTTGGAGTAATTTCAGTTGTCATTCTGTGGCACTTAAACTCCATATGTTTTCTGGTGCTTTTGGAATGTAAACTTTATGAATCTTTTTGTTGTATTTTGGTTTATTTATCAATTGGCTTGTGAGCTTACTAAGGTAAAGGCTATCATATTACCCCATCTTTTAAAATCTTGTAATTTCAATACAATTAAAAGATTAAACTTGTTCTTAGAATATTCATAGACTGCAACTCATCTACACAAGGGAGAGGGCTTTTCCCTCACAAAGGGAAAAGGTGCCAAGTCTGTGGGTCATCTTTGCAGTCCACAAGGCCATTCTGTGTCCCCCTAGCTAGAGCTATGTTGCAAGATTGCTTCAAACACAGCTGCACCACATCTGGAGAGCCAGGGAGGGTCTGTTTTCATCATTTCAGGGTGATGACGAAACCCAATCACTATACATGTTAAAATCTTACAAGTTCAGAAATGTTTTGAAGATGACCTTTAAAACAAATCTTCCTGTCTGTTCTTCTCATCCCATTCCGACGTCTATGAGTGGTGGGGAGGGGTTTGGTTGGAGGAGGGAGATGGTGGGGGTAGTCTAACCAATGTACAATGTGCAATATAAGGCTATTCAGAATTGTCACAATGTATCCCCCTTTCACAACAATAGATCCTAATAAAAATGGAAAAAAAAGAAAAGTCCTAACAACATATATGTATAAACCTACTAATATTGTTTTTAGTATGTAATAATGTATAATATTATATAATTTAATATATAATATTGTTTTATGAATAGAGATAAAGAAATCCACTAATATTGTTTTTAAAAGAGAGAGAGAAAAGAGGGGGGCTAAGGCAGTATAACAGAGGTGGTGAACTTGCTCAAAATACACTATGTATATATGGGATTTTCACATGAGCCCCTCCCCCCTTATGCTATGAATGAATCTTAAATAAAAATAAAAGAAAATAACAATAAAAGAACTCTACATCTCTGATCACATAATACCATCGATTGTTTTGTATGCATTACAGTGTTAAGCAAGATGCCTTACAAAGGGCTTGCCAATATCTCCAGGACTTTTTTCTGCAAAACTCTAATTACATTTTACTTTCCCCTCTCTAAAATATTCTGTTGTACATCTCTTCTCTTCCTCTCCA